GTGGTATTTTTTGACAATATTCACTCATCATGACAGTAAAATAGGGCATTCTAAGTCAATATACTGCAGTATTTCCTCTCAATCAGTAGAAAATATGGTTAACACCCGGTCATGCATGAAAAAAAAATACCATCATGTACCGTGAAACCGGTATCATTTTGAAAAATACCGTGATATAAATTGTTGCTCATACCGCCCAGCACTATCATCTACTAGTTAACATTTTTACCCAATTCACCTGTGGTTTCTTGCTTTACTAGTGGGTTCTCCATGTAAATCTCTACTGTAAGTCATTTTTAGATAAGAGCATTAAATTATAAATCATATTACTATAATTAAAAAATCTTACGAACTTATGTGATTTCTTTTGATCAAATACCTCATGAAATATAATCATATATGGGTAACAGAGAAATTATAGCTACAATCAGCTTTGTAATTAACTTCTGACTGCGATCCAGTGTAGATTCTGGTCAAATGATGAGGCAGAAATATATTGTTAGTAACATTTTAGAAGACTTTTATGGTGAAGATACACAATTACAGCCCACAGTGCCATATTCACATGCACAATACCTTTAAAGTAGTGGGTTCACTCCGGTTTAACAAAGTGTAAACATATCCAGCAGCCAAACCATCTCAACTTCAGCACGTACTCAATAAGCACGTGACAGCAATGCTGCAGCTGGAGAGTCTTTAACAACAAACCCAGTTATCTGATCACAGCAACATTACAAGCCTCTGCCCTGACCTCACCCTAAACAACTGCTGCTGTTCGTCCAGGACAGTCCAAGCAAGCGGAGATTAAATATATAAACATATAAATATGACATCAGTTTCTGCTGCAGTTAATTCGGCTCTCCGAGCATCAGCTAACGGCTAACCTGCCCAAACACTGACCTTGATGTCAATCTGAACAACACAGCCACAATGCAAGTCAGACCTAACCTGCTGTTATATGTGACTCTCCGTCTGAATGTGTCAGAATGGGCGAGACTGTCTGTTATTGATCAAATAACCGAGCTCTGGCTAGGACTAGCATCTGTCACGCATGCTAAGCCGAGTATTTGAGAACTAGCGTACTGTAAATGCTGGTTCGGCTTCTTCGTCGTGTTGTAAAGAGACTCAGCACTCACCAGCGTTAAAGCGGCTCTCGTTGGCAGTATTTTCCGTCTGCTGACCGCCTTCACCGTCGCCCGTGCTATAGAGGCTGACATGTTGGGAGTTTGGGTTTGGATGTAAACACCAGCGTTAATGCGCGGTACGCCCGCCTCTTCGGACGCACAGGATTGGCTGGTTATTTGAGTGACAGCTCGTAAAGCCAATGAGTGATCGCTACTGTAGGCTGCAACACCATGTGATAATCTGAGCGTATTACGCAACTAAGGGCGTCTAGTTTGTTGAATGATTCTACTGAACGATTATAAAGATAACTATAGAAATTAGCGTAAACTAATTAATTGAAATTGTAGCATGTCCACTAATCGTTTAAATCGATAAATTCTTGTCGAGGTCCTTGGTTTTAGGCCTAGAAAACTGTTACCATGTTTTTGAAACAATAATTTGCAGCTGAAAATGTAATTATTATTGTATTTTCATAGTACAAAATCACCAGGTATTTATCTCTCATCCTACTTACAAACACGTGCTTGTAGACTTTCAGTGTTATGAAATATTATTCACAAGAATTACGTGTACTAAGAGTATAATTATTGAGAAGTTTTGCAATAAATGGGCATATTGACACTGCATGGGCCTTTATTTAGACAGTATCAATTGGTGATATAATTTAACTTGAGCATTTAAAGTGAACAACAAAAATGTTTACAGAAATGCAGTTGTTTTCTGTGGGAAGAGACCATCTTTAAGTTTGTTGGCACTGATCACTTTGGCAGAAATAACTTTATAGCTTTATGACATTGATATAAGTTTCTTCTCCTACGTGATATCAGAAGGGTTTCTTGCGTTACGTACAGCTTGCTTCAAGTCCTTTGCAATATTTTAACTGGATTGAGATTTTAAGTTTTTGGTTTGAGCCAATCTTTAGTGGATTTGCACATTTTGGTTCATTATATCATTCTGAAAGCTCCCATTTAGAGCAGATTGACATTGACTTCAGCTGTTGCCTGTAGATCCCATGCAATCTGCTTTTGAGGGTGAATTTGGTGGGACGTCCCATACTGAAGAGATTGCAGTGGGACAGACTAACGTTTCAATACAAGAACTGGGCATTTAGGTTTATTTAAGCTGTCCAAAACATATGATACATTCAAAGTGTCATATCCTGAAGTATAATACTATTATCTGATAACACTGCTCAAATGCCAATCTAATATCTGTGTGTATGGGATGCACTAACTTTTCTCATAAATGCAAAAAAAACAACAACTTTATGTTGTGATATCAAATGTCTTCTCTCACCATTAAAACGAACTGCAGAAATTGACACACAGGGATGTAAGAAAATGTCGATTCATTGCAAGAACACAAAACGCAGAGACCTCAGAGGACCAGAGTTAAATTACTAACATGGAGGGAATTATTTTTGTTTATTGGCACTGAAGCAAATGCAATGTAGGCGATGGAGCCTTTTTCCCAAACATACACAATTCATTCAGCAAAAATGAAGTACTAATATAAACTATAAAATAAAGCATAACAACTAAAACCAAGCCCAGACAAACTGAAAAAGCACAATGAACAGCTCAACAACGAACGCGCAATAATATCAGCATAATTGTAAATACACAGACCGCAACTAGCATTTCTTTATGTACAATTTATACAAAATAAAATGCTTCTTGGTACACGCACGATTGTGCAAATTTCTCACTAAAACTATTCAAGCAAATTTAAAGCACAAATTGAGGCTACAATCTAAATTACAAAGGTACTCACACTGGACTTTTGATTTAAAAAAAAAATAAAAACAGATCAAATGAGAAACATCACGTTCATTCCACAATTTAAAAAAAAACTAAACTAAAAATTAGACACCGATACAAGGCACATTAATCAAGGTGTTCTAACGGGTTTATGATAATACTGAGCTCGGGCTGCTGTAGATCCAGAAACGCCTCTCTTTAGATGATTTACTTGAAAGGGCTCCACTTCTCCATAGACGCATTTAATGACGCATGTCTGCTGGCAAGACTACCTACAATATGATAGAGAAACATGACAACAGGACATTATCAGTTATATACTGAGCAAAGACAGCAGCTGCTCCATGACCAAAGATGGGGTTTTGAACCAATAAACAGCTCTCGATCCACCAGTGCGTTGGATTGAATATCAAAAGTATTTTGACTGAGCAAAAGTCTGAGCAAAAGCCTGTACAGTTTTGTTTGGTTTCTTTATCAACTGAAGGAGGAAAACAAACAAATAAATAAATAAATAATAAAAAAAGACCAGTCTTTAGTGTTATTTCAGAAGACTAGTGGTGTTAAAAGTACCTGGACTTCGGTACGAAGTCGATCCTTAAATTTTAAAAACATAATTTATGTAAATATATATTTTTAATGTTCAAGTTTGTGTTTTTTTGTTTTTGTCATTTTTTTTAAATTTTTTAAATGTCTTTATAAAGTTATATATTTTTTTTAAACTTCAGTTTTAGTTATTTTAGTACTTCAAGTTAAATTAAACGAAAATTTTAAATAAATAAGCTTATGTTTTTTTATATTTTATTTCAGCTAACATTTATTTATTTCAAGGGAAATGTTTTTTATGGTTTTTGTTTTAGTTAATAACCCTGGTGTGAACAGGAATCAATTGTTTATATTTAAAATATTGTACACAATGAACATCTTGGTATGAATAAACCTAACAGTCTCACATACACTGTAAAAAATGACCGTGAATTTAACGGTAAAAGACTGTAAAAATGCTACAGTAAAATCCTGTTAAATGGTTAACGGTAAATTCCCCTACTATATACGGTGAAAAACTGTATTGGACATTACATGTATTGGACATTAATTTTACGGTAGTATACCGTTTTTGGAAGTGAAAAAGACTGTATAATTTACAGTGAATAACCGTAAATTGACATTCCCAGAATTCCCTGCTTTACATTTCTAATTTGATGTTTTTTTGTTGAAATAACTATGTTTCTTCTTAGTTTTTTCTTATCAGTTTTGTATATTAGGGTTGTGTGTTACACCTAATGTTGTTAAATGAATGTTTATTGCATTATTTCAGTATCATGTGTGTCACCATGATGGTGTTTAGTGTTTGTGTGAATGACACTGTGCGCCTTCTATATATGTTATTATTTAAAAGCTGCTTGTGATGGGCTTTGGTTCATCATGTGACTTTCTCATCACCACCTGCATTTGGTGGTTATCAGTGTATTACAAAGGTACAAAACAGATTTCAGTACTTCAATAGGTTGGTATATTAACATTATATCAGTTAATGAAATTACGGTATTTAACTGTAAATTTAAGTTAAAACCGTAAAACCTAAAATGTTGCTACCGTATTTTTTACGGTAAAATTCCGTCAAACACAGCTGCCGTTTCTTTTACGTAAATTGTACGGAATTTTGTTTACAGTGTAGGCCAGTACACACTGTAATGTTTCAGGATTGAAAACTGCTTTTAAATACGGGAGCAAATCCCCTAAATTATTGTTTTGTGTGTCAACGGAACAGAACTCACTTTCGAAACTGCATTGATTGACACCATGGTAACCATAGCAACATTCTGGCGTCTCGTGCGTTTGTTATCTGCTGTTTTTGATGTTTGGAAGGTTGCTTTGCAGAGTGTGCTCTTGAAGGGTTGCCATGTCCACTTATTATAAGCAATGCTTATTAAAGGGGACATCGGATGTTGGTATGATTCTTTAAGCATGTTCATGAAATGTCTGTAACGCACTTTGATTAAAATTCCTCAATGGTCATGTAAAACAACACCCTTTTTACCTTGTCAAGAACAGCTCTGTTCACACCGTTTCAGTGCATGTCCCTAAATGATAAGGAGCTACTGCTCACCCCGCCCCTCTCCTCTGTTTTTTGTGTATTTAGTGGTGCGTTACCATCAAAAACAAAACTAATCCACTGTGTCCTCAGTGGCTCTGATGGGTCTGTTTCACACCGCAAGCTTGAGCTTCGCGTCAGCGTAACTTCATCGTCACTGCAGCTGCAGACTCGCAAGAGTATTCACACTAGAAGCGGCTCCAACGCAACATATCTCTTTACAAAAACAACTATACATTTGTTTTTAGAAGTAGGTCGGTTATAAACGTGAAAGTTTTAAAGTCTTGAAAGTTTAACACGGGGATTCGCATGCTAATAGTAAGCAACAAAAACAGCTCCGATCATGTCGTTTCAGTCATACTTCGATATAGAACGTGCTGTTTATAATGTTTTTTTTTAATAATACACCATTCTTTAACCCAAACTGAATAAATAAAAAAGAGTTTAAACGGGTAAATCTTCTATACATATTATACATATTTTTGATTCTTCATTTTCTTTTCTTATTCAGTGCATTTTTAGCACTTTTTGTGTGAAATCATATTTATTTTGTCCATCAAAAGTGTGCTGTCACTTTAATTGAGTGTGAGCAGCGCAGTAAAAATAAACTTAGCACCGAAACCATCGCTTTAGCGCTGCTCCCGGTGTGAATGCACTCATTTGTTAACATGCCAAAAAAAAATATGAGCTGCTCGCGCACCGATCACGCTTGTGGTGTGAAACCGGCCTTACATTCAACTACAAAACACCTGCATTGCTTTCGAGACGTTGTTATCGCTACAGAAAATCGCGGGCAGCGTACAACTGGCTGAGGGCGGAGATATGCTAATACAGGACAGTCATCAGCGGTCGTGGGCGGGGCCTGAGCAGTATGACATCATACTGTTCAGAAAATCAAAACGGCTTGATGATCGAGACTGTTTAGGTTTTTGGGGGATTAAAAACAAAAGGAGTGAATGGATTTTTATCATTGTAGGGTGGTTGTTTCCACACACTGCTAAGACACATTTATATGCAAACACCATGTAAAAGTGAATTTTGCATCTGATGTCCCCTTTAAGCATCTTTGTGTTCGGCTCATTAAGCGATCTAGTTTATGGGGTCAGTAAAGTAGGCAGGTCACAATATTTTGGCATGTGGCTTATTTCCAAGATAACGCGTTTGGATTTGAGTTTATTATGGGCTCGTTCTTATTTGCTGTTTTTTCTAGTAAGATCTGGCAACACAAATGAGTCGATATGTGCCATCGAGAATACAGAAGAAACTGATACGTGTTAAAATACGACATTAACAGCTAGTTGTTCAGTTTGATTCTGCGTGTAATTTCTGTAAATGTGGTTACCACTACCTGCATTTTTCAGTAGTTGATTTGGTTGTAGTAGAATGTGGTTGTCAATCCTGTAAATGACTGAACTGGATTAAGCACTAAAAAGTGAACTGACAACTGAATTTAGCTGCAGTGTGTACGTGATTTGGACAACTTTAAAGATGATTTTCTCAATATTTAGATTTTTTTGCACCCTCAGATTCCAGATTTTCAAATAGTTCCAAATATTGTCCTATCCTAACACCCCATACATCAATGGAAAGCTTATTTATTCAGCTTTCAGATGATGTATAAATCTCAATTTCACAAAATTGACCCTTATGACTGGTTATGTGCTCCAGGGTCATATATACAGAATTTTAAATTCACAGAATTAAACAAAAACATATTCAGCACAGCATAAATCACCATGTAGTGCGCTCACCTGCTTCAGGACCCAAAATCATCCTCTTTGCTTTTCGCTTCTTTTTCCTGTCCTGCTGAGGACTGTCCTACAAAACACACAAGAATCCAACTGAGCTCTTCATGTTGAACTCCAAGCCCAAACTACAGTATTAGCACATAATGATAACTGTGAATGAGACCGTATCGGACATACTAGTCTGTCTGACGCAGGGCTTCTTTGGTGTGTGTTTGGGGAGGATTCTGCAAAGAGAAAATACATGGACGACTGAGCGATTCCTGCAGAACTAAACCGTGCTTTAAACAATGTGATGAGCGCAGCTACCTAACGATTTGGCCAGCAGGCAGTCTTTCTTGATGTGAGCGCTGGAACCACACAGATAACAGCACTTCTCCTCCCTCTGCCGCCACCGTTCGCCATCCGTCATCACTCTGCCATCGGGTCTGTTCACACCACGTCCATCAGCGTCACGTCTTTGTCTTAGCAAACCATTGAAACAAATGAATCAACCACAAACGACATCAGACTATAAGCATCCAATGTCTTTCATTTTAACGTGCAAATGTGCACTACATTTCAAAATTTGGGGTCATTTGTGAAAGAAGTCTCTTCTGCTCACTGAGGGTAAATTTATTTGATCAAAAACACAATAAAAACAGTAATATTGTGAAGTATTGTTACCATTTATAATAACCGATTTCTATGTGAATATATGTTAGAATGTAATTTATTGCTGTGATGCGCAGCTGAATTTTCAGCATCATTACTCCAGTCTTCAGCGTCACATGATCTTCAGAAATCATTCTAATATGATGATTTGCTGCTCGAGAAACATTTCTGATTATTATCAGTGTTGAAAACAGTTGTGCTGCTTCAAAGTTTTGTGGAAACTGTGATTTGTGACCCTGGAGCACAAAAGCAGTCTTAAGTCGCTGGGGTATATTTGTAGCAATAGCCAACAATACATTGTATGGGTCAAAATTATCGATTTTTCTTTTATGCCAAAAATCATTAGGATATTAAGTAAAGATCATGTTCCATGAAGATATTTTGTAAATATATCAAAACTTAATTTTTGATTAGTAATATGCATTGCTTTCAAATTTAAAGGCGATTTTCTCAATATTTAGTTTTTTTTGCACCCTCAGATTCCAGATTTTCAAATAGTTGTATCTCTGCCAAATATTGTCCGATCCTAACAAACCATACATCAATGGA